AGTTCAGGGGCTTAACAATTTCCAGAATTTTGATAATTTCTAGCAGGTCGTTAATTTTCAGGACTTTGATAATTCTCAAAAGTTTGATAATTTCCAGAATTTCTTTATTATTCAAAACTTTCATAATTAAAAGAAAATCGAAAATTTCCAGAACTTCTTTAATATTGATATGTTCGATCAATTTTAGGAGTTCTATAATTAGGACAGCTTCGGCATAAGAGCCACCACTTTATGGAACAGGCTCCCGAGAGGATGCTTCCCCGAACACTACAATCTTCACCTCTTCAACTCTAGCGTCACCCGTTACCTACCCTACTCATAATCTGCGCTTACTTCCTCCTCCTACGTCCATACAGCAATCTCACTTAATTAAGCTCTACCTTGAGTGGCTGACTTGTTCAATAATTTAAAAAAAAAATCGCTAATCTTCCAGACGTCGATAATTTCCAGAAGTTCAATAATTTCCAGGAACTAGCTAATCTTCAGACGTTTGATTATTTCCAGAAAATCACTAATCTTTCAGAGGTCAATAATTTCCAGAAGTTCGATAATTTTCAGAAAATCAATAATCTTCTAAAGGCCGATAATTTCCAGAAGTTCAATAATTTCCAGAAAATCGATAATCTTTACAGAAGTTCAATAATTTACAGAAAACTGCTAATCTTCCAGACGTCGATAATTTCCAGAAGTTCGATAATTTCTAGATGTACTTTAATTTTCTGAATTCCAACAATATCCAGAAGTTCGTTAATTAATATCTGTGACAAAAGAGGATTTTCCTGATATTTTTGGGAGAGAATTTTAATTGACGTTAATTCAGCCAAGTTTTAGGGTTGATCTAATTGATCATTTGCAAATGAATTAGGATAATTAACTCTCCGAATTAAAAATCCTAATTTTGTAATGTAAAAAAAGAAAAAAAAGAGTGGGACATTTTTGAAACGTGTTCCTCATTCAGATGAGATAAAAAAAATGGCGAATATTTTAGACGAATTTTGTGGAAAAAATGAAAGAAAGAATAAAGAACAAGAGGAAGAAGGAAGATTAGAAAAAAAGAAAAAGCGAGAAGGGCGAAAGACAGAATGGAGAAGAAGAAATTAAATGAAGTAACAAAGAAGTTAAAATGAAAGAAAAGAAGCAAAAAATGGGATTGAATGGAAAAAAAAAGATCAGGCGAAATAAAAAAAAGATGTGACTGGAAAGAAAATTCGAAAGAGAGGGAAGAACTGAAAAGAACTAAAGAAAGGAAGAAAGAAAGAAGGAAAAGAGGAAAGAGAAGATATGGAATGGGTCGAGAAGCCGTAAAAAATGTATTGACATTTCTAGGACACATAACGAGGAAAGAGGGCTTGGAGAAATTGACACTCACAGGGCGCAATGAAGGCAAGAAAGACAGAGGAAACAGGCGAATAATGTAAAACAATGGGACATTGGTAAATGTTTGGCAGAAAAGGGATTAAGAATAATAGCAAAAAAGACAAACCCTTAGTAAAAAGCTACAAAAAGACAGGAAACAGTGGAGAACCATGACCACCCGTTTTGAAGGATCAAGGTAATTTACAAAATGAAAGGAAGGTACATGCTCTTAACAGTTTTAATGTACCCGACGTGTACCTTATTTTATCGGTGTCGACATTTGTACCTTATTTTTAGCAGACATCGGTGTCGGCATTTTGTAGAGTGTTTGTTTAAAATGAATTTTACGAGCCTTTTGTATGTTGGGCGTTGTCATTAGATGCAGACAATATTTCCAGCTAAATTTACGTTCCAAGGTTACGCATTGTAATTTCTAACAAGTCTGTATATAAACAGAGGTAAAACGATGTTGAATTAAAACTAGCAATGATACCCAACTTTGAGCGGGCCAAATCAATTTTTTTTGTTCAGTAGGGATACGCGGTCATTTCTTGGAGATATTTGTGCAAAATGGTGTTGGAAAAATTCGAATTAATGCATTTCCTTTGGTTTAAACATTTTATTAGGTGTTTATTCTAAAAGTGGTATGCTATAATATTAGAATGTGTTCTGATATATTAATGTAAGGGTTGCACAAAAAAATATATTACTCATTCCTAATGACAAAAGTGACCATTTTGTTAATTTTATAATATTCCCTTTTAGATTGTTGTTCTCAAATACGTGACGCATTTCTGCATACACTAGAAAATAGAAAAACAATAAGCGATTTTAGAACAAAGCTTTTAATTGTGTTTTAATATATTATTATAATAGCTGCACAAAAATACATTACTCATTCCTAATTAGAAAAGAGTCCTCTTTGTTATTTTGCATATGAGTCTCTTTCAGAATTTAATTTCGTAGAATTTTTTTGCAACACACTGATGTGTGTTGAAATCGTGTCAGTATTTAATATTGTTGAAATTATCGCTAACATTTTTTGCCAAGACTTACGAAGAATTCTATGTTTCGTTCAATTTTGCAAACCCATCGAGGAAATTTGAATAAGTTGATTTGTTTGGAAAAAATACTTTATCAAAAAGCCTACTTTCCAGTTTAATAATCATAATTTAATTTTATAGGACTTCTGGTAAAGAATATTATATATATATATATATATATATATATATATATATATATATATATATATATATGAAGAAAAATATATACGGAAAAAACAAACAAAAATCCTTATAGACAATTATGCTGTTTTAATGTTAATATGTCAACGTCGGACGTTTCGGTCTAATAAACCATCTTCAGGACATATTCATAAAATATAATTACATTATCAATTCAACATGACAAAGACGATGTACATAAAAACATTTATCTTATAAAACTTTTTGTTATCTGTTTTGGATAAGTCTTGTTTTCTTCATACTGTCATATCTATATCCATATATTTATATAAAGCATTTATACATATATATATATATATATACATATATATATATATATATATATATATATATATATATATATTGTATATATAATGAACTCAATATTGAAGATGTTTCGTTAAAAACATTAACAAAAAATTCTTACATAAATATTTATTTTAATAATTAAATCATTTGTAAAATAATGAGAGTATTTTCTATGTTAAATAATAAAATTTTTTAATTTTCAGGAATCAATTATGAAAATTTGCTGTACTAAGTATATTTCAAGTAAAACCAACTGCCCTTTGTAAAAATTGTACCTGTTGTCATTTTCCCCAAAATTTGGTTTCGATCGGTCAATAACTGCTGGCTATTTTTCAGAGGTGTAAAGGACTAAAGTAAGTCATCAGTATTTATATATATATATATATATATATATATATATATATATATATAAATAATTTTTTATTTGTATTCGAGAATATACGTATACTATGAAATTAAGAAAATTTTGATGCAGATTCTCGTTCAAAATTCCATTTGTGTTTGTTCAACATCCAAAAAAATAGACAAACTGTAAATTATATTGCAATAAGCTGAGCAGACCTTAGTTACAGTTTCTGGGAGTAATGTATTATCTATCGTGATCAACAATCTAAACGGCGACAGCACGCTCAAACCCTCAGTCACGATGACTTGTGACTTCTTGCTAGTACATGAAAATCGACAAAAAAAGTGTTCCGTTTTTTTCAATAACAAGGCTTTTGGATCAATATATATATATATATATATATATATATATATATATATATATATATATATATATATATATATATATGTTCATAAATTTACCCATTATGGAATCCTCTTCTTCTATTTGTAAATAGTAGGACAGACTGGGTTCTATAGTCTTGGATGGCAACTGGTCTAGGAGAAGGACTGGTTTGAATTCAAAATCTGCGTTTATTTGTTTCTCTACCCTGGCACGTATCTGCACCAAGTCTCTCTATTCAGCCCTTCAAAAAGTTGGATGGTTCTGCACAAAAACCTTCACCAGTATAATCAAATCTCATGTACCGTTGTCCGGCAAAAAATTTCCTAGGAACTGATCTGCTCGACCCTCATGTCGAATTCGACAAGGAGAGTCCTCAATATATTCCTAAACGACAGTCAGACACTTGCATGTATGATTTGATTATATTGGTGAAAATGAAAAAACCAACCACACTTTTTATCTCTATCTATATATATATATATAAATATATATACATGTTGGGCATAAATACACATATATATATATATATATATTTTTTTAAATAAAAACAAACCACTTCAGGAGGTTCCATGTAATAAATTATTTCACCAAGAGCCTTTTTAAAAAACTGCATATCATCAAAATTTACTTCAAAAGGTTGAAAGCAAAAAATGAAAAAATTTACACATTTAAACCGTCAAAAATGTGTAAATTCTTTTAAAAATCAATCATAACTTTAATTTTTAAGAAAATTAGAAATTATAAAAAAATTTTTTAAAATATTTTTGGGAACAAACATTACTTGATTTCAGCGCCGAAAAATGTAGTTTAAAATTGAGACAAAGCAGGTCTTAACAAGTGACAAACATACGTTTCTGCCATTGAGTTACAGTTTCTAATTTGCAATAAAATAATAATTTTTGATAAAACTGTCTTCTTTGAAACAGATTTGAATGATCTATGTCTTGAGCAGAATATTTTTATAAATGTTTCTTTCTCTTCTTTTGAAACAGAATCTCTGGAATATTTCAAATTATAAAATTAAATAAATGATATCTTTATTATTGTTTTGTTGGATATTTCATGTTCAAGATGAGACATAATATAATGTTTTACATAATTCTGAAAGACATTGATGAAAATTAAATAAGTCATATCTATCTATCTATATTATCTATGTATCTATCTATCTGTGTGTGTGTCAATGTGTGTGTGTGTGTGCAAATATATGTTTTAAGGGAAAATTTCGCTTGGTGATGGGAACATAGGTTGTACTTTCTTTGCCTCACTTTAATTTTAATAAATTTAATAATTCAAAAGGTAAAATTGAATAAGCAGATATCTTTATTATTGTTGTTGGATATTTCATGTATCTATCATACATATATAATGTTTTTAGTTAAATGCTGAATTTTGCTGATATAAAATTTAACAAAAAGGAATTATCTATCTATCTATCTATCTATCTATCTATCTATCTATGTATCTAAACTGTGTGTGTGTGTGTGTGTGTGTGTGTGTGTGTGTGTGTGTGTTTTATATGGAAAAATTCCCAAAATTTCGCTTGAGGATGAAACATAGGTTGGTACTTTAATTCACTTTAATTTTAATAATTATATTGAAGGTTTTGGCTCTTGTTTTTGAAACATGAGAACTCTTACATAGTGAAGGAATCATATTTAAAAAAAATAATTATAATATATATATATATATATATATATATATATATATTCCTCAAAGTGACTTCCCTTTTTTTCCGTCCGTTCCTCCAAGTCCACGTCCTCTAAAATAGCCATACATTGATCGATAGAAACCAAATATTGGGGAGACGTGCAAACAGGTAAGGGGCTGCAAAGTACAATTCGTTATTTAGCATACAAAAAAACTCCACTATTTTAAAAATAATTTAATGCTTTCCGTTCGTAGGATATCTACTAACAGCCCGTAGCGGTCAGATGTGGCTCAAGACCGAATGTAACGTGGGGTATCCAAAAATTCCCCGTAGACCCGGAATAAAACGTGGTCGGGTAGCTGTTTCCCGAGACGAAACTGCCCTTCGGCATAATCTCATCTAGGGATCATCTCTGCCCAGAGGTAGACAGTTTGACCAGCACAGCTGAAGACAAATCTCCAGCTGCAGGATATCTACCAACCGCCCCATTGGTCAAATGTCCTTTGTAAAGGCCGGATTTAATGTGGGGGATATCCAAGCCCGTAAGTTCGGCCAAAATTTCCCCGTAGAACCCGTATAAAACGTGGTCGGGTAGCTGTTTCCCGAGATGAAACTCTGCCCTTCGGCATAGCCTCATCTGGGGATTCTTTCTGTCCGAAAGCAGAGAGTATGACCCACACAGTTGGAGACAAGTCTCCAACTGCAAAATATCTACCAATCGCCCCCACGCGTTCAGATATGGCGCAAGGCCGAATTTAATGTGAGGTATCCGAGCCAACAACAATGATTCACTCCAAAAAAATTCCCGTTATCCCGTTTACTGACGAGACTTTGCCCTTCGACATAGCCTCATCTGGGGTTGCTCTCTGCCCGGAAGCAGAGAGTTTGACCAGCAGAGTTGGAGACAAATCTCCAACTGCAGACCAACATACAGTATTTACTACTGCATTTATGTGAATGGGGACATACCCATTATTGTCAGTATGTATGCTACGACAGAAGGTAAGTGTGACGAACAGATTGAAAAAAGAAAATAAACAGAGTGAATATCAGTGGGAGTGGATTGATCGTCTTTATGGCCTTTGTGGGTAATTTAAAGCAGAGACCTATTTTGGATTGTACTAATAATTATTTTTCTTTTGCCCTACTATTGCATGCTTCTTATTTAAAGAAAATAACAATGATTTTTTTTTCTCTACAAGTCCTATTTTTTTAACTCATAGTTAGGGGAGAAAGAAGAGATAAAGGTATATTTCCATAGGGTCTTTTCCAGGTAAGCGGATTCTATCTATCTATCTATCTATCTATCTATCTATCTATCTATCTATCTATCTATCTATCTCATACAGGTCGCATGTGTGTATGCATCTATCTATCTATCTATCTATCTATCTATCTATCTATCTATCTCAGCCTTGTTGTATGTCTGTATGTATATATCTATCTCTGTCTGGTCGTATCTATCTTTCTATCTATCTATCTATCTATCTATATTTATATGTCTTGTATTTATGTATGTATTTTATACATATGTATCAATCTATCTCTGTCTTTCTATCTATCTATCTATCTATCTACCTAAACTAACTATCTGTCTATCTATCTATTTCATACGAGCCATATGTATGTATGTATGTATGTATCTATCTATCTATCACAGTCTCCTCATATAAATATATATATATATATATATATATATATATATTGTATATATAAGAACTCAAAGAAGAGGTATGCAAAAAACATTATTGTATTTTTCTTACATAAATATTTATTTTAATAATTAAATCATTTAGTAAAATAAAAGGAAATTTTCTATGTTAAATAATAAAACTTTTAATTTTTCCTCCCAAATTATGAAAATTTGCTGTACTAAGCTATGCACTCTAGTAAAACCAACTGCCCTTTGTACCCGCTTTAACTGTTGGCAAATCCCCCAAAATTTGGTTTTCGATCGGTCAATGTAACTTATTTTAGAGGTGTAAATACAAGTATACAGTATATATATATATATATATATATATATATATAATATATATAATAATCTAAATTATTTGTATTCGAAATACACAGTATACTATGGCGGCTAAATCCCTATTTTAAATTCTCGTTCAGGCACATTTGTGTTTGTTCAACAATATAGAGCCAAACTATAGTTTATAAAATAACTAAGCTGATCAGACCTTAGTTACAGTTTCTGGGAAAGTGTGTAATATCTATCGTGATCAACAATCTAAACGGCGACAAATTATTCAAACCCTCAGTCACGATGACTTGTGACTTCTTTTCATAAAGTACAATATCGACATTTAAATTGTTTCCGTTTACCCAATTTCACTAACAAGGCTTGGATCAATTTAATATATATATATATATATATATATATATATATATATATATATATATATATATATTCATATATATATGCGAATCCTCTTCTTCTATTTGTAAATGCGACCTGACAGACTGGGTTCTATAGTCTTGGATGGCAACTTTGTGCCATAGAAGAAGGACAACCCTTAATTCAAAATCTGCGTTGGGTTGTTTGGGGACCCTGTGGCACGTAGTGCACCATATATCTCTATATATCATAAATTCAAAAAGTCTGGATGGTTCTGCAAAAAACTTCACCAGTATAATCAAATCTCATGTACCGTTGTCGGGCTGTCGGTTTCCTAGGAACTGATCTGCTCGACCCTCATGTGTCGAATTCGACGGGAGAGTCGAGTATATATTCCTAGGAAACGACAGTCAGACACTTGCACGTATGATTTGATTATATTGGTGAAGCTCTGAAAAGAACCAACCACACTTTTTGAAGAGCCGAATACAATATATATATATATATATACACACACACACATACATATATATATATATATTTTTTATATATATATATATAATATTTTAAATAAAAACAGACCACTTTCCATGTAATAAATTATTTTCACCATAAATTTTAAAGGACTGCCAGATCATCAGACTTTACTTCCAAAGGTTGAAACAAAAATTGAAAAAAAATTTACACATTTTAAACCGTCAAAAATGTGTAAATTCTTTTAAAAATCAATCATAACTTTAATTTTTAAGAAAATTAGAAATTATAAAAAAATTTATTTAAAATATTTTGAAACAAACATTACTTACTTTCAGCGCCGAAAAAATGTAGTTTAAAATTGAGACAAAGCAGGTCTTAACAAGTGACGAGTGATACGTTTCTGCCATTGAGTTACAGTTTTCTAATAATTGCGATAAAATAGACTCCAGTAATTTTTGAATACAGTTTCTGACTCTTCTTTGAAACAGAATTTGAATGATCTATGTCTTGAGCGAATAGTGATGAGAAATGGATCTTTTGTGAATGGGTGGTTTGGCCATAACGAATATCCCAGACATATTCAAAAGGTAAAATTGAATAATTTTAATATCTTTATTATTGTGTTGTTGGATATTTCATGTTCAAGATGAGACATATATAATGTTTTAGTTAAATTCTGAAAGACATTGATATAAAATTAACAAAGGGAATTATCTATCTATCTATCTATCTATCTATCTATCTATCTATCTATCTGTGTGTGTGTGTGTGTGTGTGTGTGTGTGTGTGTGTGTGTGTGTGTGTGTGTGTGTGTGTGTGTGCAAATAATGGAAAAATTTGAAAATTTCTCGAGGTAAAAAACATAAAATGGTAATTTAATTCATTTAATTTTAATAAATTTATATTGAAGGTTTTGAATAAGCAGATATCTTTATTATTGTTGTTGGAATTTCATGTGCAAACTCTTATATAATGTTTTTCAGAAAATTCTGAAAGAATCATAAAATTTAAAAAATTATTTATCTATATTTATCTATATCTATATATATATCTATCTATCTATATAAATTCTGTGTGTGTGTGTGTGTGTGTGTGTGTGTGTGTGTTGTTGATATGTGGAAAAATTTGGTAATTTCAAAAGATTCTAATGTTAGGTTGGTTACATTGATTCACTTTTAGAAATAATTTTATTGAAGGTTTTAAATCAACGTGTTTTTTGAAACATGGCTCTCTTACTAGTGAAGGAATTCAAAACATTTAAAATATAATTATAATATATAAAAATAATTTAATATATAATTCTTTTCCGTTAGTCCGTCCGTTCAATCCATAAAATAGCCATACATTGATCGATACAAATCATTGGGGAAAATAACTTGAAATTTTCAGATGTGCTAAACAATTCGAGAATGTATACAAAAAACATCCACTATTTTAAAAAATTTTTGCTTTCCGTTCGTATAAAACAATAATGGTTAAAAAGTTAAATTTTGGCTCATTCTTAAATTCCGAGAACGTGGGGTATCCAAATTTCCCATAGGCATTTCTCGTGGTCGAGGTAGACATTCCCGAGACAAAATTCCTCAATGAATCTCAAAAAAAAAGATCATCTATATTGAGAGGTAGACAGTTTGACCAGCACAGCTGAAGACAAATCTCCAGCTGCAGGATATCTACCAACCGCCCCACGCGGTCAGATGTGGCACAAGGCCGGATTTAATGTGGGGTATCCAAGCCCGTAAGTTCGGCCAAAATTTCCCCGTAGAACCCGTATAAAACGTGGTCGGGTAGCTGTTTCCCGAGATGAAACTCTGCCCTTCGGCATAGCCTCATCTGGGGATTCTTTCTGTCCGAAAGCAAAGATATGACCAAGGTTGGAGACAAGTCTCCAATGCAAAATATCTACCAATCGCCCCCACGCGTTTCAGATATGGCGCAAGGCCGAATTTAATGTGAGGTTATCCGAACCCGTTGATTCGGCCAAAAAAAAAAAAATAACATTTTTAGAGACGAGACTTTGCCCTTCGACATAGCCTCATTGGTGGGTTGCTTTCTGCCCGGAAGCAGAAAGTTTGATGTAACAAAAATTGGAACAAATCTCCAACTGCAGACCAACATACAGTATTTACTACTGCATTTATGTGAATGGGGACATTAGTTTTTATTGTCAGTATTTATACTATATCTAGAAGGTAAGAAAATTGAATAACAGATTGAAAAAAAAAATTTAAACAGAGTGAATATCAACATAGTTTCATTGATCGTCTTTATGGCCTTTGTGAATAATGTTTAAAGCAGAGACCTATTTTGGATTGTACTAATAATTATTTTCTTTTTGCAAGTTAATATTGCATGTAACAATTATTTGAAAATAACAATGATTTTTTTCCAGATACAAGTCCTATTGTTTAACTCATAGTTAGGGGTGAGAGAAGAGAGGGTGTATATATTTCCCGAGGGTCTTTCCAGGTAAGCGAGTCTATTTTCTATCTATCTATCTATCTTCTATCTATCTATCTATCTATCATACAGGTCGCATGTGAAATATGCATCTATCTATCTATCTATCTATCTATCTATCTATCTATCTATCTATCTCAGCCTTGTTGTATGTCTGTATGTATATATCTATCTCTGTCTGGTCGTATCTATCTTTCTATCTATCTATCTATCTATCTATATTTATATGTCTTGTATTTATGTATGTATATTTATACATATGTATCAATCTATCTCTGTCTGGTTCTATCTATCTATCTATCTATCTATCTATCTATCTATCTATCTATCTATCTATTTTTATACGAGTCATATATATATGTATGTATGTATGTATGTATCTATCTATCGCAGTCACATATATATATATATATATATATATATATATTTTCCTGTATGTATGTATCTCATTCCAAAGCAAATTGTTTTTTATTTAAGCTGCGAACAGGAAAATAAAATGCCGTTAAACCAAAGATGCGCTTTAAACTACAAAAGGATGCGCTGAGGAAAAGCAACATTCCTTGTGAGCACTGGGAAGAATGTGCATCTGATCGAAGTGTTTGGAATGAGACTGCTGCTAGCGGAAGGTGTCACATTGAAGATGAGAAGAGGAGGCACGCAATGCTTAAAAGAGATGTGCGTAAAACCCCCGTTGGGCTTTCTGCAGACAACCGCAGGCAGCTCGATCTAACATGGACAAATTGTGGTAGAGTGTGCTTTGTCGATGGCTGGTCTAAAGAGTCACTTTTCATCAATTTAAAGGCAATTGATTATAAAAGTGTAACTATCTATCTATCTTACTTATTAAAAAACAGATTGTTGTGTGTGTGTGTGTGTGTAACGTTTATATATTGGATCGGATTTCCTACATTTTTCAACCGATTTCAACAAAACTTCACAGGACTACATAAAATTACCTTGTGGTGGTTCTAACAGCGCCAAAAATGGGAAAAAATATAATTGTTTTTGCACAAAATCAATTTGAAAACACGATTAAGAGACATCGTGAAAATGGAAGGGGACAACTCACATCGGGTTGTTTGTGTGTGTGTGGGTTCCTTTAAATATGGGAGCGGATTTCCTATATTTTTCAGCCGATAAAACAAAACTTCACTTTTTTTTTTTTTTTTTTTTTATAGTGTTTCTTATTCTCTTGCACACTTTTTTTCTTTTTATTTTAACATTCAGAATGCTTTAAAAATTCCATTTACAAGACAATTATTTATAATAAAATTCTATTCAATTGGGAGACTCATAACGATTGAAAACAATGCTTTTGTTTGAGTTTGGGTTTGACCAATTCGTAAAAAAAAAAAAAAAAAAAAAAAAAACTATTAAGACATGCGTGTCCGTCAACCTTAAAAAATAATCTAACGATCTCTACTGATTGTACGAATACAAACATCGGATAAATTCTTTATCTTTAGGGAAAGATAATGAAATCTAAACATACACAAGTCCTAACTAAAAATAATAACCGAAACGGGAAACTACTTTAAATACACATGGTGTCCAATTTTTTTACTGTATTCAATAAGTAAAAATCATAAATGGTAAAAGATTATTATTATTACAGAAAGGCTACTAAATGAATAAGATTTGTTAGATCATAATTAATAAACCCAGATAAAGTTAATATTTTTTGTATTAGAAACAACGAGTGAAAAATATATTCAAATCAGAATTCTAATTATGAATCACCACAAAAAAATATGCAATTTTTTTTTACTGTATTCAATAAGTAAAAATCATAAATTGTAAAACTAAAAGATTACAGAAAGGCTACCTACATTTTTCAACCGATTTCAACAAAACTTCACTTTTTTTTTTTTTGGCATGTAGTGTTTCTTATTGTCTTGCACACTTTTTTCTTTATTTTTACATTCAGAATGCTTTAAAAATTCCATTTACAAGACAATTGTTTATAATAAAATTCTATTCAATCGGTAGACTCATAACGATTGAAAACAATGTTTTTGTTTGAGTTTGGGTTTGACCAATTCGTAAAAAAAAAAAAAAAAAAACTAATTAAGACATGCGTGTCCGTCAACCTTAAACAATAATCTTTGTCAATTTTATTTTTCAGTCTTTATGATGGTGGATACTTGATCTATCTCTTACTGTTATATCCCCGGGCAACGCCGGGCTCTACTGCTAGTAATCTAATATATATATAGTTATATATATATAAATATTTCTAATTATGGTCATTTATATATTTATCTATCTATCTATTTATCTAATCTATTCATATATTAAAATTTAATCGTTTAAATCTATCTATCTATCTATCTATTTAAATATTCATTCAAAATGTCGTATGTGTATTTTTATCTTTTCTATCTATCATCTATTTAAATATCTATTATCTAAATCATTATTATATTATGAATCATCTATCAAAACATTTTTCAAAATTTTTAATAAAATTTATTTTTTATCTAAAATTTTATTTTGCAACATTAAATTATTTTGAATTAATGTTTTTTAAAGAAGAATTCATTTTTAAATACGCGTAGGCAAAATTTCGAATACAATATATAATTATGAATAAATGTTTTAACTTGATTTAAAAGAAATAAAACAAAATTAATGTTATTTTTAATAACCATATTTTGAAATCGCTTTTATTTGAAATTCAAATTAAGATATTAATATATTTAAATAATCTCTATTGATCAAACATTTGTAAATTATTGAATATAATATATAATTATAAATGAATTTTTTTCCAAAAAAAATTTTTGTAAACTGGAATTTTATTTATTTTTCCGTATTATCCGTCATGACAATTTGTTCTTTTTATTATTGAAATTATCTTTTTTGCAAAAAATTTTGAATATATAATTAAAATATTATTTTTGATTTTGCTTTTTCAAAAGCCATTTTCTGTTTTTTGCTGTAAATGAAATTAATCAAAGATATTTCAGCGTAAAAAAAAATATTTATATCTTTTAATCCAATTTAAATCTATTTTTCCATTTTTAAATTGGATCCATAAAATATTTCAACAATCTTTGATAAATGACTATAAATTTCATTTTAATAAAAAAAATATGAATTAAAATCTTAAACAAAAAAAAAATCACATTTGTATTATATTCATATTTTTTTCTTCTATCTTCTATTATCTATCTAATATTCTATCTTCATATCTATTTTATTCTATCTATTTTTCACTAATGTCTATTGATATCGATCTTTTTTGTTGGTTAAAATTTAAATTATCTATTTCAATATAATCTATCTGATTTATATATTTTTTAAATCAAAATTTTCATTTATTTTTCATTTTTCATGATCAAATCTTAATTTTCAATTCTTATTTTATTTTTTTTTTCTATCTATAATCTAATCTTTTAATATTTCAAATAAAAAAAAATTTTTGTAATCCTTGAAATTCAAAAAGTTTTAATAAATCAGTTCTAAATTTATTGCAATGTCATTTATTTTTTTTTTAATTTTTCATTAATTTTCATACATTTTTGAAAATTTGGAATCTTTTTGGCCATTTTTTTACTCAAAGAAACAAAAAACATCATTTACAACAAATAAGAATGTTTTTTATTACTTTTCAAAAATTTAATCAGGGACCATTTAAAAAATGCTCTTAAAATATAAGATTTAAATTAAAAACCTATATCAAATTTTCATGTTTGGCTATTCTTTTTGGATAAAAGTGATTATATTATAAATCATTTCTATCCATAATATTAGAATATTTTCTAAATCATTTAAAAAAAAAAAAGTTATATTAAATTTTTGTTTTAAATTAAAATTGTTTTCAATTTTTTTATGCTTAAAATTCCATTACCATTAAAATTTAAATCATTTCATTATCTTGATTTTAAATCTGTAAAAACCAAAATTATGTTGGCATTTTTTTAAATAATTCTTGATTTTTTATTTCACTGCTTGAGAAATCATCATATAAAAATTTAAATTTTTTTTTTTTTTTCTTATGGTTATTTTTTTTTATATAAAAATTTATTTTATTAATTAATTTTTCATATAGTAATATCTTTCTATCTGTTTTTATAAAAATTTTAATTTTTTCATAGTTTACAAATTTTAAAAATTTTCTATTAAAATCATTTTCAAAATTAATAATAAAATCATTTCAAATTTTTTTAAAAAAAATGTTATTCAAAAATTTTGAGATTAAAAATCATTTAAATATTTCATAGTAAAAATCATTCCAATGAATTTTTTTAATTAAAAATGTTTTTCATTTTGTTTATAAAAAATTAATTCTTTTTTATTCATATTAAAAATCATTTTTTTTTTTTTTCATTTTTTTATTTAAATTCATTTATATAAAAAATTTTTTTGCATTTTTAAAATAAAAAATTTGCTCTGCTTTTATAAAAAAATTTCAAATATATTTCATAAAAATCATTTCAAATGCATTTTCATATAAAAAGCATTTTATCCTGTATAAATCATTTCAAATATATTTTATAATAAAAAAAAATTTAAATGCATTTTCAATTTAATCTTTTAATGTATTTTAGTCTATCATTTCAAATGCATTTTCATAAAAATCAAATAAATATTTTCATAGTAAATCATTTGATCAATGCATTTTCATAGTAAAAAATACATTTTTATGCTTTTTCAAAAAAAATCATCCAAAATGAAAATTTTTATATTATGTATTTGATGAATTTTCATATTGTCATTTATAATTTTTTTCATATAAAAAATAATCTATTTTATATATTTTTTAAATTTGAAAAATTATAAAAAATTTTTTTTTGTTGGATCATTTTTTTAAATAAAAAAATTCAAATCATTTGAAAATTTTTGGAAATTTAAAAAATTTCTTTTCATTTTTCAAAAATGAATTCAAAAAATTTTTGTGAATTTTGAATTAAAATTTAAAAATCAATCAAATGTTTATTAAAATTATTCAAATAAAAATTTTTTAGTTAAAATTATTTTCAAAAAAATATAGTATAAATTTGCTAATGTATAAAAAAAAACCATTTATGTTTTCATAGAAAATTTCCAATGCATTTTCATATTAAAAATCATTTTCCAATGTATTTTCATATCCTTATTTTCATTTTCAAAAAAATTTTTTTTTTTTTTACTAAAAATAATTCTTTTGAATTTAGTCCTCATCTTCTTTAAATAATTTTCATAAAAATTAAAAATATTGTTTTTCATAAATTAAAAATCATTTCAATGTTTTTCATAGAAAAACTTTTCAATGAAAATATAAAATTATTGAAAAAAAAATATTTCATTTTCATTCAAAAAAATAAATTTGCATTTTATTTTTAAATTTTTTTAATGATTTTTA